CCCAGAGCGTTCTGGAGCGTTCTGGAGAGCTCTGAGAGCTCTGGAGCCGATGCATCCTCGTCCAAGCCACGTCCGACTGCACAGCCCGTCTGTCGGGGTCTTGTGTTGATGGGCCAGTTTTCCACCACCACCAGCATAAGTTGCAGGGGGCAAGGAAGTGGACGAGGAGGGAGAGGAGGAGGGGGAGGAGGAGGAGGAGGAGGAGGAGGAGGAGAAGGAGGATGGGGAGGAGGAGGAGGAGGAGGAGGAGGAGGAGGGGAGGAGGGGGCGGGGGGGAGGAGGAGAAGGAGGAGGAGGAGGAGGAGCAGGAGGAGCAGGAGGAGGAGGAAGAGGGAAGGGGGAGGAGGAGGAGGAGGAGGAGGAGGAGGAGGAGGAGGAGGAGGAGGAGGAGGAGGAGGACCCCCCCCTGCAACTTGTGGTGGTGGTGGAAAACGGCCCTCTCATGTGCACCTTCGTCTCGGGGCCCGGGCGCGAGCGAGTCACAAACCCCGAAGCCGGTGGGCCCGCGGTCTCTTCCGTGTGCCCTCGCGCACGCCTATAGCTCAGCACGGCGCGGAGGGTCCTCTCACTCGGTAGTGTGACAGTCAACCTGTCTAGTAAGGATGCGCGATAGGGATGTAAGGGCCTTGGACGCCCATTTCGAAGCTTTCGAGCGGGCCGCGGCCGACGAAAGCGGCGAAGGATGGATCGAGGAGGCAAGGATGCGAGGGTACCCGTGGGAAGATTGCCCATCCTGACTATCATGGTTGACTGTAGGTCGGGCCTGTCCCCCTGCGGAGGGCTCTTGGGCGAAAAAATCAGAATATTCAAAAAATCGAAGCATGCTCAAACATAGTAAAATCAAATCGTCCCCCGACTGCTTCTCAATATGTTTGAATATTCCTCCTGTAGAGGGACAGGCCCGACTTAACGGTAGGGATGCCGTGTTTGGGCATTCCGCCTCCAGGGCGTAGCATTCAGCAAGCACGCGGGCCAGAGATACAATCAAGTCGCATGGTAAGGATGCGTGTCGAGGAGTTCAGGGGCCCTGGAGGGCCGTGCTGGCTGGCTCAAGAGCGGGGCTGGCCAGCGAAAGCCGTCGAGGATGGGCCGAGTTGGAAAGGATGCAAGGGCAGCCTTGGAAAGCTGCTCCTCCTCACTGTGCGACTTGACCGTACCTCGGCCTCCCCTGTCGGGCGGGTGGTCATTGGGGGGTGACCGAACTGGGGGGTGACGAACGAGGCCCTAAAAGGAGCCCTTCGGGCCCCTTTGGGGCCCCTGCTGGTCCTCCCCCTCCTCCTCCTCCTCCTCCTCCTCCTCCTCTCCTCCTCCTCTCCTCCTCCTCCTCCTCCTCCTCCTCCCTCTCTCCTCCCCTCCTCCTCTCCCTCCTCCTCCTCCTCCTCCTCCTCCTCCTCCTCCTCTCTCCTCCTCCTCCTCCTCCTCCTCCTCCTCCTCCTCCTCCTCCTCCTCCTCCTCCTCCTCCTCCTCCTCCTCCCCCTCCCCTCCTCCTCCTCCTCCTCCTCCCCCTCCCCCTCCAGACAGGGCCAGAAAGGCCCGTCAGGGCCCCTGTTCTTCACCCCCCACTTGGGTCCCCCCCCTCACCACCCGCCCGACCCTAAGGACTCGCGTTTCATCCCGAGCAGCTCTTGGCCACAGCCCCAGATGCCCAAGGCAGCGGCCATCGGGACCTACATTCGGGGATGGACAGACCCCCTTTAGTAAAACGTGGTTTAGCGAAAACGACCTGAGGCCCAAACCTGGTGGGCGCAAGCCTGGAAAATAACGGCCACGGCGCCCTCTCGAGAACCGAAAACGGACCATTCACTAATCGACGTGTCACTGTTGGGGGCTCTATCCACCCCCGATACATATGGCGCCCAAGAGACTCCGCCCGGATTTGTTGCCAAGGCGAGGGAGGCCTGGGGACGTTAGGCGGCGGCTCGGCGGGCACCGCCTCGTCGCCGTCGCCTGGGGGAAGAACGGAAAGATGCCGCTACCGCCGCTCCTCGGACCTCTCCCGGGGTGCGCTCCGACGAGGGCCTCGAGACTGGAGGAACGAACAGTTGCACGAACGGAAACCTGTGGAGCTCCGCGCGCGGCTTTCCTGTCGCGGCGCTGGGCCCCCCTGGCGGCGCCTCCGGCGACGCTCCTGGCGGGCTCCGCGCGACAGGGAGGGGGGCCCGGCGCCAATCCGAGAGATCCACGCGGAGCTCCGAGTGTGTGTACATAGGTGTGTATGTGCATACAGAGATGCATGCATACACACGATGTGGATACCCAGACTCCCGCCGTCATGACTTTGATTTTCTCACAACGCCAACCCCCATGAGGTCTCGACCCACTTACGTGGACCGGCTTCTCATACTGAACGTCTCTGACGGTCCCGAGGGCCAGTAAGGGACCCTAGCGGCCAAGAATAGCGAAAAACCTCCCCAGGTGATTTTTTTGTCACAACCCGAAGGGGTCTGGGAACGAATCCAGCCGTGGCAATCGACCACCGGACCCCTGCTGGCGCTGGCCCTGCCCAGCACCAGGATGCGGCGCCGCCCACGACCACCAAAGGTTTGGACGCCCGAAACGGGTACAGTGGGCGCGATGCCCAACAACACACATTGTCCAAAACCGACAGCAGCCGCTGTTAGGCAGGTGGCCATCTGTCCTGAATGGCCAACATCCGCGGGGACATCGACAGAGCAGTCCTGCTCAAAATGAAAAGGAAGTGGTGTCTTTGTGCCCACCTGAAGGGGCCCTGGGACACACAAACAGATAGACAAAAATAAAAGGATTCACCATATGTTCCCATATGTTCTGGGCTCTTGTCTTCCCCCCCGCACTTCCCATATTTCCCCATATTCTCTTGGGAATCGACGATTCGTTGTGTCTGTGTGTTTTTCCCCCTCCTGACAGTCACTGTCCGTACCCGTGTCGATCACCCCCGCGGAGGGGGCCCGAAGCGGGCCCACGAGCGCCGGCCCGGAGGCCAACCCTGGGCCCGAGAGCGCAGAGCCGAGGAGCAGATCGATCCTCGAGCCCTGTCCTCGGCCAGCGGCCGCGAGCGGCGGAGAGGGCAGCAGCGGCGGCACCCGCCGGTCGGAGAAAGTGGGTCAACGCAGGAGGCAGGGAGGCGCCGCGCCTGAGTCGAGGAGGGCCTGTACACAGAGGCCCAAGGTGGGGTGCCGCCGCCCTCCTCCTCCTCCTCCTCCTCCTCCTCTCCCCTCCCCCTCCTCCTCCCCTCCTCCTCCTCCTCCTCCTCCTCCTCCTCCTCCTCCTCCTCCTCCTCCTCCTCCCAGAGAATAACAACACACAGCAAGACCACATCGATTATTCACGTAGGAAGGCGCCCAAATATATTGGGATTTGGGCATCCAAGAAACAACTACTTTCAACAACCGGCGTGTACCATGCGACAGGACATTGGGGTGGCAAGGGCCCTGGGTGCCCAAGCCGAAGCCATTTCCGCGAAAGTGGCCAGCGACAGTGGCTGAGGGCAAGCCGAGAATGCATGGACGAACAGGGTGCCCCTGGAGAACTAGAGATGCTCAGGACCGCGTTTGACTGCAACCCTTTCGGGAGGCTTGCGAGTGGGCACCACCACCAACACAAGGATGTGGCTCCACGGGGGGGAGAGGATCCTGGACTTCAGCGGTGGTGGTAGTAGTTCGGCCACCTGGGAAACCCGAGTACAGTCAAACCGTATGAGAAGGACGCGCGGTGAGGACGCAAGGGCCTTGAAGGCCATGCCGACTCTTTGCGAGCGGGGCGCGGCCAGCAAAGACGGCCAAGGATGGGCCGAAGGGGAAGGACGCAAGGGTAACCTTGGAAAGTCGCTCATCCTTATCATGAGGGCTGACTGTACTACCACCATCGCCGGGATCGGGGTCATCCTGCCTCGGTGGAGGCACACCGCTGATGCTGGTGTTGGTGCGGACCTCTGGGCCTCCGACCTTTCCCTTAGGTCGGGCATGTCCCCCCAGGGGCGGATTTTGGACGAAACATAAGAAGTGCCCAACCAAAAATACACCAAAAATACTCCAAAACAGCCCCAAAATCGTCCCCTGATTTTTTCTCTGAGCATGCTTGATTTCCCCCCCTGTCGAGGGAGAGGCCCGACCTAACCTCCCCTTTCCCCCCCCGCGCCGCTGGCGCTGGCGCGCTGTGGCGAGGCCGTGCTGCTCGGCGGCGAGCTCTGGCGCGCCGGCGTGCTCCGGGCGCGGCCCGCGCGAGGGCCGCGCGGTGTCCCCGGCGCGCCGCCGGCGAGCAGGCGGGCGGGCCAACCGCCGAGCAGGGCACCGCGCGCGGCGGGCGGCGCGGCGAGGGCGTCGGGGCAGGGGCTGCCTCGCAGGCCGTCGTCGTCGTCGTCGTCGTCGGCGGCGGCGGCGGCGGCGGCGGCGCAGATCCCATCCCCCATCCCTCTACGCAGCTCCCTCTCCGCCGCCACCCCCTCTCCAATCCTCCTCCTCCTCGTCCCCGTCATCGTCCTCTTCGTCCTCCGCCTCGCCTCGCATCGCATCGCATCGCATCGCATCGCATGCAGTGTCTTAGAACTACAAGCGCTATGAAATTACAGTGCGCATGCAGAAGCAAGAGGAAGAAGAGCGGGTGCAGAGGGAGGAGCCAGGAGGCAGGAGGAAGCAGCCGAATGCCGAGGGGCGAGGAAGGCACACGGGAGGGACAACCGACGACCCAGGACGCCGACGACCGCGTGGACGAGACAGGGGGGACGACGACACGATGACGACAACGACGGCGACAACTAAAGACGACGACGACAAAAAAAAAAAAAAAAAACAAAAAAAAACACGACGACGACGACGACGACGGCGACGATGACAACGACGACGACAACAAAAAACACGACGACGACGACGACGACGACGACGTCGTCGTCTCGCGGCAGCGGCAGCACCGCGCGGGGCCTGCGCCCGCGGCCCCGCGCGGGCTGGCGCCGCGGCTGCCGCGCCCGGGCGAGCCGCGCCGCCGCGAGCCCGCGGAGGGGCTCCGGGAGCCCCGGCGGGCGCCGCGCGGCCGGGGGGCGCCGAGCGGCGCGAAGACGGGCGTGCGCGAGGGGAGCACCTTGCTGTCGAATTGTTGTTTTTGTTTGTGCTGTGTCTTGCTTTTTGTTCCCGCTTGTCCGTTCTGCGGGCGCAGCCCGTACTCTTGACTCGCTCTCGCGAGGCAGAGCGACTGGAGTGAACCGAACTGAACCACTATCGCCGCTAGATGGCAGTTCTATTTTTGGGGGTGGGGATATTTGGGCGGCAATTGTAAGCTTGACGCCAGCGGGTGAGGATCTTTCGGGAGGCCGTTCTGAGCAAGAGGGTGAGGATATTTGGGGGGTAGTTTTCTGCGACGGGCGGTGAGGATATTGCGGAAGCAGTTTTAGGCCAGGGAGGGTGCGGATGTTCTGGCGGCAGTATGAGATTTGACGCCAGCGGGTGAGGACAGTTGGGAGGCAAATTTAAGCCAGCGAGGGAGGATATTTGGGAGGGCTAATTTTCCGCCAGGGGCGGTGAGGATATTTCGGGTGCAGTTTTAGGCCAGGGAGGGTGAGGATATTTAACGGGCGCAGCCCGTAATTTGATTCTCGCGAGGTAGACAGACAGACAGACAGACTGAACAGAACCACCAGGCCGTTGGATGGCTCTTGTATTCTCTTGCACGGGTGTCTAGAGCTCCGACCACTTTATTTCGGCACGGCACCCCCTCCATCACCCACAGATTCCACCAGTCAGCGCGCCCCTCCGCCCCGACCCTTCTATCTCGGCACGGCACACCCCTCCGCCCCGACACCTGTATTTCGGCACGGCATTCACCCTCAACGCCCCCTCCGCATCCCCCCCACCCACCAGCCAGCGCGCCCCTCCGCCCCGACCCCTTCTATCTCGGCACGGCACACCCCTCCGCCCCGACCCCTTTCATTCCGGCACGGCACACCGCGTCCGCATCCTCCCACCCACCAGCCAGCGCGCCCCTCCGCCCCGACCCCTTGATTTCGGCACGGCACATCCCTCCGCTCCGACCCCTCTATTTCGGCACAGCAAACCCCCTCCGCATCCCCCCCGCCCACCAGCCAGCGCGCCCCTCCGCCCCGACGTCTTTCTCAGGTGGAGCTCCCTATGGGGCCACGAAACGCTGTACTGGGTGTGGCGGACGCATGTGGTACCCCCCCCCGTTGGGGCCTCAGGTGGAGCTCCCTATGGGGCCACGAAACGCTGTACTGGGTGTGGCGGACGTGGAGCGAACTACTGGGTGTGGCGGACGCATGTGGTACCCCGCCCTGGTGCCTTAGGTGGACCTCCTATGGGGTCACGAAGCGCCGTACTGGGTGTGGCGGACGCATGTGGTACACCCCCCCTTGGGGCCTTAGGTGGAGTTCCCTATGGGGCCACGAAACGCCGTACTGAGCGTGGCGGACGCATGTGGTGCACCCTCTGGGGCGTTAGGTGGAGCTCCCTATGGGCCCACGAAACAACGTACCGGATGTTGCGGACGCATGTGGTACCCCCCCCCCCTCTGGGGTCTTAGGTGTAGCTCCCTATGGGTCCACGAAGCGCCGTACTGGGTGTGGCGGACGCACGTGGTACACTCCCCCCCCGGGACCGTCGGTGGAGTTCCCTATGGGGCCACGAAGCGTCGTACCCGGTGTGGCGGACGTATGTGTGTGCCCTGCCCACTGGGGTCTTCGGTGGAGCTCCCTATGGGGCCACGAAGCGCTGTACTGGGTGGGTGAAACGCATGGAGGTGGGAGGAGGGCGGAGGAGGAGGGAGTGGGACGCGGGGCGGTGTCCCTTCAAAACGAGGACCCAACACCACAGGATGCTTGGGAAATCCTGGGATTGACACATCAGCCCGCTACTGGTAATGTGTATGCTCCAGTTTCCAACAGTAGGCAGCGTTAATAACCTCCCCTGGGTTTGATTGTGTTTGGGTTTTGCGGCGGCGGACTGAAGGTTGCCGACACCCAAACAAAGCCAGCACGGCGAACAGTACTGGGCAAACAGTTCGACCGCTGACCCCCGCACCCGGTTGCCAAGCCAGAGCTCTGGGGGGGGAGGGGGGGGAGATGCAACGTGAAAGACCCCTCGCGGACACAGGAAAAAGAATCTGCATGAGCATCGCTTCTCTGAGGTCCGCGCGGGCTTCTTGCATCTAGGCCGCACCCCTTACCCTGGCGCCGCCCGGAGGGCCGAGCGCAGATCCGCGCAGACCGTCGGCGGTGTCTGGTCATGCACTCTGCCGTTCCTCCTCCGGCCTCGGCAGCGTGGTCGGAGCGCATCCCGGAAGAGGTCCGAGGAGCAGCGGCATCGGCACGCTGTTCTCTGCTCTCCCAGGCGACGAGGCGGTGTCCGCCGAGCAGCCGCCCCACGACCCCAGGCCTCCCACATCAGGACAACGAAGCAAGGCGGAGCTTCTTGATCGCCATGTTTACGCACCCGATGGGACAACTTATGCTGAGCAGGGACCGACCGTCCCGGCATGCCCAGATGCCTCCCAAGAAATGATCTCAGAATCACCCTGACTCGATGACAGAAGCACTGCTCGCAGGACAGAAAGACGATGCACCAAAACAAAGCGGCTCCAACCAGAAATGCTATCACAACATGCCGTGCAACTCACAGATGGCTCTTGGAGCACTCCTGGGTAGGCATCACAGGCAAGCCAGGACGCCCCGCCACTGCCTGATCACGTGCATGCCGCTTGTGCTCCCCTGGGCACCGTGGCCAGCTCCGCGGCAGGCAGCGCGCGGACGGCCGAGGCCGTATCGGCCCGCGCCCGGCGCCAGCGCCCGGCGGCCTCCAGCATGCGGATGGCACCGGCGTCGCCGCGCTTGTCGGAGGAGAGGCCGAGACGCCGGAGGGCGCCGTTGCGCATCAGCGCGGTGGCGAAGCTCCTGGCGACCCTGGGGCTGAAGAGGTTGTCGACCAGCCAGAGCTCGGTGAGACCTCTGTTCTGCTCGAGCGCGCCGGCGATCGCCTCCGCGCCTTCGTCCGCCACGAGGTTGTCGTCGAGGTGGAACTCCTGCAGGACCCCGTTCTCGCTGAGCATGCGGGCCAGGGCCACTGCCCCGACGTCTGCGATGCTGTTCGACCCGAGCGACAGGGTCCTCATGGTGAAGTTCTTCGCGACGCCGCTCGCGAGGTGCGCGGCGCCGCGATCGGTAATGTTGTTGCGCTCCAGCACGAGGTGCTGGAGCGCGGCGTTCTGCGGCAGCGCCTGGGCCAGAGAAAGCGCGCCGTCGTCGCCGATGCTGTTGCCGTGCAGGGACAGCTTGCAGAGCGTGGCGTTGAGCGTCAGGGCTCCAGCCAGGTGCTGAGCGCCCTCGGAGCCGATCTCGTTCCGGTTCAGGTCGAGCTCCCTGAGGGCACGGTTTGCCGTCAGGCCCTGGCAGATGCCGGCCAGCCCCACGCTGCTGATCATGTTGAGGTCGAGGTCCAAAACCTCCCACGCGCACACGCCGGCCCGATCGGCCGCTCTTCCTCCCCATCCCATGTTGTTTTTCTGCCGATGCAGCTGCTGCCCCTCCCCTCCCCCCTCGCCCAAGGGTCCTGCCCATTCGCCAGCTGCTCCTTGTACTGTACCTCTTCGTCGGCCTCCTTCTCTTCCTCCTCTTCCTCCTCATCCTCTCCCATTTCTCATTCCCCTCCCCGCTGCTGCCTTCGCAAGGAGGAGTGCGGCCAGAGGTGTGAGGACGAGGGGTTGGGAAGGGAGGACAAGGAGGGACAGCGGGAGAGCGGCAAGAAAAAGGAAGAAAGTGCGCACAAAGACCTCGCCTCTTCCAGTAGCTCTACGGTGGGCGCCTCTCTGGCACCCCCACCTTCCCTCTGGTGTACCCCTTCCTTCCTTCCACGCCCCTCCTCCACTCACACTGCCCCCCTGCCCCCACCAGCCCTGCGGGCGTAGGTCGTTTAACCTCTGTCTTCGGTTCCAACGCAAGACGATGATCCTTCGGCGCGACATCTGTCACTGCTCCCTATCAGTGCCATCCCCCAATCCAAGAGAGCACGTTTCACGGGGTTCAAACCCCCCCCCCGGCGCCGCCGCCGGAGCCGGCGCTGGCGGCCGCCAGCAGCGCAGCGCCGACGGCGGGGACGCAGCGACGATTACCACCACTACCACCACCACCACCACCACCACCAATACCACCACCACCACCACCACAACCCGCCACCACCACCACCAACCCACCACACAACCACCACCATCACCACTACAGCCACCACCACCACCACAACCACCACCACCACAACTCAACACCACCACCACCGCAAAACAGCACCACCACTACCACCACCACCACATCTACAATACCACCACCACCGACGCCACAAGCACCACGACGACCAGCAGCACATCACACCACCACCACCACCACAAACCACCACACCACACCACCGCTACCACCACCACCAGCATCACCTCCACAAACCACCGCCACCACCACAACCCACCACCACCACCACAAACCACCACCACACCACCACCAAACCACCACCGCCACCACCACCACCATCACAACCCACCACCACCACTACCACCACCACCACCACCACCACAAACCACCACACCACCACCACCGCCACCACCACCACCACCACCACCAGCATCACCTCAACAAACCACCGCCACCACCACAACCCACCACCACCACCACCACAAACCACCACCACACCACCACCAAACCACCACCGCCACTACCACCACCAACCCACCACACAACCACCACCATCACCACTACAGCCACCACCACCACCACAACCACCACCACCACAACTCAACACCACCACCACCGCAAAACAGCACCACCACTACCACCACCACCACATCTACAATACCACCACCACCGACGCCACAAGCACCACGACGACCAGCAGCACATCCCACCACCACCACCACCACAAACCACCACACCACCACCACCGCCACCACCGCCACCACCAGCATCACCTCCACAAACCACCGCCACCACCACAACCCACCACCACCACCACAAACCACCACCACACCACCACCAAACCACCACCACCACCACCACCACCATCACAACCCACCACCACCACTACCACCACAAATCACCACAAAACACCACCAAACCACCACCACCACCACCACCCACCACCACAACCACCACCACCACCACAGCAAATCACCACACCACCACCACCACCACCGCCACCACCACCAACACAACCCACCAACACAACCCACCACCACCACCACTACCACCACAAACCACCGCACCATCACAAACCACCACTACCAACACCAACCACCAACACAACCACCACCACCGCCACTAACCACCACCACCACAACCACCACCACCACCGACACCACCACCACCACCACAGCCACCACCACAGCCCACCACCACCGCCACCACCACCACCAGGGGTTCGAACCCCCCCCCTCCATCCAGGGGGTTGGGAGGGGTCTAGTTCCAAACCCCCCCCCACACTCCAAGGGACAACAGAACGCGCTTTTTCCCCCATCTCCAGACCCCCCCGCCACCACCATCCCTTCCCCCCAGAACACTCCAACGTCAACATCACGGCAATCACAAGGCCCCCCGGGCAGGTGCCCTGTATCTTCTTGGAACACTCGACATTCCTGTGTAAATGCCGCTGCGCGCTGGCCCGATACCCCTGTCGAGGCAATACAAGAGGCAAAGCTCGCCCACAACACACACACACACACACACACACTTCCTTCGACAGGCCGAAGAATCCCATTGGTAAAGCGAGGAAAAACGGGACGCACTCGCCTCGCACGGGCTCCTGGGAAGTGGCGTGGCAAGGCTGTGCTGCCCAGATCCGCCGGCCCCCTTGTGGGGCCACCAGGCTGCGAGGCGCGTATTTCGCAGTTTCCTGTACCAGTTGTAGTTTGTAGTTTCCAGTGTTACAGTTCTGCTTCTTGCTGGTTACTGTAACTAGTTGACTTCTTGCTGGTTACTGTAACTAGTTGATTGACCGCGCAAGGGGGGGGAGGCCCAAACGGGATTTTTAGCGTCCCCTGGGCGCGTTGTCTGAATTGCTGGGGGGGCTCGAAATCGACACCCCTCACGCAGATCGGCGGGGCCAGGGTCCAAAAACACAGAGGATTTGCCACATTTCTCAAAAATCCGGTGCCACCCCTTACACAGATCCGCTGGGTCAGGGTCCAAAAACACATGGGATTTGCAACATTTCTGAAATTCGGTGCCACCCCTCATGCAGATCCGCGGGGTCAGGGTCCAAAAACACATGGGATTTGCCACATTTCTGAAATTCGGTGCCACCCCTCACGCAGATCCGCCGGGTCAGGGTCCAAAAACACTGGGGATTTGCAACATTTCTGAAATTCGGTGCCACCCCTCACGCAGATCCGCTGGGTCAGGGTCCAAAAACACAGGGGATTTGCCACATTTCTGAAATTCGGCGCCACCCCTCATGCAAATCCGCGGGGTCAGGGTCCAAAAACACATGAGATTTGCCACATTTCTGAAATTCGGTGCCACCCCTTCACGCAGATCCGCGGTGTCAGGGTCCAAAAACACCGGGGATTTGCAACATTTCTGAAATTCGGTGCCACCCCTCACGCAGATCCGCGGGGTCAGGGTCCAAAAACACATGGGATTTGCCACATTTCTGAAATTCGGCGCCACCCCTTACGCAGATGCGCGAGGTCAGGGTCCAAAAACACAGGGGATTTGGCACATTTCTGAAATTCGGTGCCACCCTTCACGCACATCCATCGCAAGGCGTGGTAACCCAAACTGCGAAAACTCCCTCGGCCCTTTAATCGCAAGGTGTGGTGACCAAGCCCGTAAACCACACACGTCTCACCAATCGTCAGGTGTGGTAACCCCTCTTGTGATCAATTGGTTCTGCTGATTGCGAATCGGCTTCGCATGAAGTCTCGATACTGCCTCACGACAGCGCCAAGGCCTCACGACTCAGCTCTTCCATGGCCCATTCTCCGAGAGAGGGGGCCGGCGGCAGGGGGCGAAGCCCTTACGGATATCGACTGTGCCTGTACTCCCTCCCCCGAACCTCGGTCACGGGAGGGGGGGTGCGGGCTGGGCCCCCCTGGGGGGGGGGGAGCGCCGGCCCAGGCGCCGCACGACGACGAACCCCCCCGGGAGCCCACGGCTTCGGCGGCCGGCTCGCAGCCCGCGGCCCCGCGGGCGGCGAGGCGCCCCGCCCAGGTCTCGGCAGGGCCACGCTGCGCAGACCCCCCCCCCCAGGGAGCCCACGGCCTTGGTGAGACGGGAGCGCAGTGCGCCGCCCCGCGGACGGCGAGAGCTCATCCAGGGCCCTCGGCAGGGCCGCGCTGCGCGGACCCCCCCCCCCCGCGGGAGCCCACGAAGGTGGCGGCGGGCTCGCAGAGCGCAGTCGTCCCAGAGACGGCGAGGTCTCCTTCAGTCCCGCGTGGCACCGTACTGCCCTGGACCCTCCACGAGCCCAGAGAAGAGGCGACGGTGGGACGGCGAGGTCCCCTTCAGGGCCGCGCTGCGCCGCGCTGCGCTGAGAGCCCGCAGGGGCCCACGAGGGTGGCGACGCCGTCGCGGTCTGCGGCACCCACGGGGCGGCGAGGCGGAAGGCAGGCGTGAGGTAGGAGGCCAGGGATGGGGGGTAGGGCGACGCAATCTATACATATCCACTGCTCCCTGGCCAGGCCCATCCTGAACCCAGGAGCTGTGTATACGCCACGCCCTCCTGGTTTGGCCAGGAGGGCGTATACACAGCTCCTGGGTTCAGGATGGGCCTGGCCAGGGAGCAGTGGATATGTATAGATTTCGTCCCCCGAGGGGGGTGGAAGAAGGAGGGAGGCGGGAGGAAGGAGAAGGCAGCAGTGCCCTCTTCAAAACGAGAGCCCAACGCAGGAGGGCTGGGAAGGGACACATCAAGCATCGACCCTCGCTCTCTTCGCTCCTCCATCCTCCCACACCCCCTGTTCCTCATCCCCCCCTTCCGCCTTGAGGGCGACGTTCGACATCAGCAGCTGCTCCAGCTGGGCCGCGAAGAGGTCCCCGAGCCCGCAGCCGTTCAGCTGCAGGACCGACAGCACGTTGTTGCTCGCGAGCGCCTGCCCAGCGAGCATGGCTCAGGAGACGAATTTGGAGACGTCAGCAAACCACCTCACCGGTCCCGGGCCGTGGCTACGTGGGGCCCGGCATCAGTGGACAGGCCTCCCTGGCCACGGCAGGAGGTCGTGCACACCGATCCCGTGTACAGGATGGGCCTGGCCAAGATCGTCGAGGTGGTCAGTTGACACCTTCCGACAGGAGGGAGGAGGAAAGGAGGGAGTAGAACGGCGACGCAGCAACAGGAGACGACGCTGACGCCGATTTGCATCACCAGATGAAGGGCACATGCATAAACTGTTTGATGCCTGCGTGGGGTTCTTGGGTCCTCATCGGGCCCCCTCCCAACACCCATCCCGTACAATCATCGTGCTACTGTGAGTAACGCCCAATCAGGGGGCGGGAGGCTGGATGAGCCAATGTCCCACCAGCCCTCTGGGCGTTGGTGGCTCAAGGATTTCATGTTACCAGCCTCCTTCCTCCCGTTCGGGGACAAGTTCATCTCGATACTTCCCCCCTGGTCCTAGAACCCCCAACCACCCGATCACTGTTCACTATCCCGCAGGCGACCCGCAGAACAACGCCGACAACCATGATCACACCCGCCCACACCATACCACCCAAAAACAGTACAAACACACACTCTGGCTTAAAATTCGGAGCATGCGCAGCCAGCCCGACGCGGGCCCGACCCGCCACCCCTGCCACAACTCAACACAATATACCATCGAGGGCAAAGTCTTGACTCATGTTCGTGACGCCCGCGAGCATGTTGTATTGTTTTTGATAGGGACTACGGGGGTGTCAGCATATTGCTTGCCGTGCGCATCGCCACCACAATACCACATGCACCTCGCGGCACAATGTGAATCATGAGCGGCCTCTCCTCCATCACAGTCGAATGGTTTTTGACAGGGTCCGGGGGGGGGCGTATGGCCTGCTGTGCGCAGACCCTCCAAACACAATGATTGGCATCGGCTTCCGACAAGGATGGTGGGGGCCGACATGTTTCCCGATGTGTGATGTCACGTGCGCACGCGCACCTGACACACTCTGCACGTGCCCCGAACGTGGCGCACCAGGCGCGGCTGGAGTATGCGGCACCCCTGGCGCACGTGGCGCATCTGGCGCACCAGGCGTGCCTAGCACGCTCGGGTCCCAGCGGGCCTGGCACGCGTGGCGCACCTCGCCCCAGCGTCGCGCACATGGGGTGGCCTTTGGTTCCCAATAGCTGCCCATCCAAAGACGACCGCTGAACATGCTGAGGCCTGGGGGCTGTTTACGGATAGGGAGGGCGGGTGGGAGTGATCGAGACGCCTTGCAGGCGGGGAGGACGTGTTGATCAATGCTCCTTATGAATAGCCACCCTCTCCCCGACCAAACTTTGGGCCAACACCGAACATGCTCCCCCCCCCAACATAATTCATTCTGCCTCCAAATCTCGAGCATGCGCGGGCGCCCCGTGACCACTCTGCATTGGTTTTTCAGGGACGGCGGAGGTGCCGGCATGCTGTTTCTTGCGCAGCAGTTGCGCGCAGACCGACCGTCCCCGTCACGTTGCCTCCAAATCTGGAGCGCATGCGCGGGCGCCCTGCGACCACTCAGCACCGGCTTTTGACAAGGGTGGCGATGGTGCTGGCATATTGTCTGATGCACGCGAGCTTACCATCCCGGTCAAACAAACGATAGAAAATCTTATGATCGTGGAGGGGGGGTCGAGGGGGGGGAGGTCGAGTGGTGGTGGAGTGGGGTAGGGGGGTAGGGTGAAGGGTTGAGGCCCCCCCGAGATCGCAAGCCGTCTCGCTCATTCCCACCCGCCCTCAAAACACCTAAGTAATACCAGAGTCTCAGAGTATCGCCGAGGAGCGCCGCGCATGCCGCAATTCGGCGCCACGGGTTCAGGTGCACCAGGCACCCTGGAGGCCAAGAAGTGCGAGGCGCGGCGGTGCAGCACGTGCTCCGCGGAGGGGGCTGGGATGCCGTTGGCATGCACAGAGTGGAGGAGGACGAGCCTGGCATCGACGAGTGCTGTTCCGATGATGGCCCTGCACACCCTGATCGGTGGGACCATGCAGACATGGGGAAATGGGACCCCGCGTGGTCTGCGCAGCTGTGCCGTGAGGTGCTTCTTTCAACTACAGCATACAAGAGAACCATAGGGGGGGGATTCGAACCGGTAGCGACCCCCCCCCACTTTTCATGCTGGACTGGGGGGGGGAGGGGTTCGAACCGGTATTGACCCCCCCCCCGTTTTCGAGGGGGGTGTGACGGGTTGAGAACCCCCAGTGACCCCCCCCAGTTTTCCGCCAGCAGCGGTAGAACACACTCTTTCTCATCATCACCATCATCATCATCATCATCATCATCATCAGCAGCAGCATCAGCATCAGCATCAGCATCAGCATCAGCATCAGCATCAGCATCAGCATCAGCATCATCATCATCATCATCATCATCATCATCATCATCATCATCAGCATCATCATCATCATCGTCATCCCCCTCGGCGAGGTTCGGGGCTCTTGGGGCCACATCTCGAATACCTTCGCTTACAAGACCCCGGGGCTTGTTGGAGTCTATCGGTGCCTGTTGGGTGGGCTGGGCCATCCGTGCTTGGCGGGCAGCAGGGGGTCACGGTCTGGAATCGCATCTTCTTGGAGAGAGGCCCGAAAGCCTCCTCGGGGGCTTCGTGGAGGCAGTTTGAAGTCTCTCGGGCCTCTGTGGGGCCTTTTTGGTTCCCTTTGGGACCTCCTGAGTGCCTCTAAGGGGGCTCTCTTGTGAGCACCTCGGGAGCCCCCTGGGCGCCTTGTGGACCGTCTTTGGATCCTCTAGGCTCCCTTTTGGACCTCCTTGGGCGCCTCTTGGAGGCTCTCCTGTGGGCCCCTCGGGGGCCTCTCTTGGGCCGCTCGGGGGCCTGATGGCGGGTCCGAGGGCTCTCGATGGAGTTCCCCGTCTTGGGCCCCTCCTGGGGCCCTCACCTCTGGGAGGCGTCTTGGGCCGCCCGTGTGTTTTGTCGAGCGGACGGCGGGCACCCCAGGAGTGCCACCGCCCACGTCGCCGCGCGGCGAGCCCGACGGCCTGCCCTCCGAGAGAGCCGCGCGGGCGCAGGCCCCCGCCGCCGCGGGGGGGCGAGGGCGCGGCGATGCGCTGCGGCTGCTGCGCCCGCGCGCGCGAGACAGGCCGGCGCCCCGGAGAGGCAGAGCGCTGTGCAAAAACGCCCTCCAGGGTACTGGAGGCCTCCAAGATGGGGTCCGAGCAGATGGGGTCGGAGGATGGCGCCGCCTCGCGGACGCATCGCCGATGCATCGGCGATGCGTCCGCGTGGAGAAGCACGGGCTCCACATCGAGACGCATCGCCGATGCATCGGCGATGCGGCACGGTCCTCCGACCCCATCTACTCGGACCCCATACAGGAGGCCTAGAGGTACGCAAAATGGTCAAGCCGCGATACCTCATTCGCCTGGTCGTTGCCACTCGCCGCCGCATTTAAAAGGGCAAGAAGCGGCACTGCCGAGCCGCGGACAGGAGACCCATGCGGCGACTGGGCAAGAGGTCCGCCCATGCGCAGGAGGGGTTGCGCGGCGAGTACAAACAAAAAACTGAGACACTTGCGCCGGAGAGGCATGGCTTGACGGCCACGGTGAAAGGGTGCGGCACCAGGCCAAGCCTCCCGCATCACTGCGCTTGCGGGCCAACCCGCGAGCGACCTTCGTATTGTACAAGCGCCGCTCCGCCCCAGGATCCAGGCTCGTGGTCTGCTGCTGTTGCGGATGTTGGATCGCGCACTGCTGCTTCTTATCCTCCCCCTATCCTCCCCCTTCCCTCCTCCTCCTTCGATCTCTACCCTAGGCGGCTGCGAGCGACGCTGTCGCGCTGCGGGCGCAAAAAAGTGTCCGGGCAAAACACACACGGGGCACCCCTCCAGAGAGGCGCGGCCAGTGCGACCAGCAATATATGATCCCAGGTCGAGAAGTCGCAGCCCCCCCCCAGACGGGATGGGTCCCATGGTTCCACAGGACGACGACGACGACGACGACGACGACGACGACGACGACGACGACGACGACCACGACGACGACGACCACGACGACGACGACGCCGACGACGACGACGACGACGACGACGGCACCGCAGCACCACCCCACACCCGCAGAGGGAGGGGCGGGGGCACTGGCACCCCCCTCCACCACGCCACGCCCACAGGGCCACGACTATAGAGGGGGGGTTGGGAGGGCGATTCCACTCGCGACGCCTACGCGAGGCTCACGGGCGTGCCCATCCAGCGATGGGGGAGGGAATCCCATTAGCATTGGGAGGGGGGGGCCCGAGCCGTAGATCAAACATGGGCCAGCTGCGGCTGGTGTGCTGGAGGGGGGGTTGGATCGCGCGACGGATCGTGTGCGCCGCCCTGTGCTCAGATGTTCGCGACTTTGTCCGCCTTCATGTCGGCCGCGACGCGGAGCGCCATGACCGCGAGGATCGGGTTGAGCAAGGCCCAGCCCCCGATGATGTAGCCGAGCCCGTAGCCGACGCCATTCGCGATGTCCCCGAGCTTGCCCTTGGCCGCCACGATGCCGTCGTTTTGGTCGTCCTGGACCCAGCACGTCGTTTCCTTCCCCAGCGTGCTGAGGCCGCTGGCCCACGCGGCGAGCAGGAGGACCCAGGCCATGCCGAAGGCGGCGACGGCACCCCAGAGCACCTTGCGCATGTCCCGCGTGTCCCCCCTGGCGAGGTACGCGAGCATCGCCGCCATCCCCAGGAGGCAGAAGACGATCCCGGCCACGCTCAGGCCGCCCGCGGCCGTCAGACCCCCGACGTCCGTGCAGAGGTCGCCGAGCGGGATGCAGCAGGCCTTCGGCAAGGCGTCCGCGCTGCAGGACGACGCCGGGGCCGCGGCCCACTTGGTGCCCGACTGGCTGTAGTCGATGGTGTACGGTCGGGAGACCGCGGCGGACACGTTGGCGCACTGCGTCGCATGAAGGTCGCCGCACCCCGTCAGCGCCTCGCACTCGCTCA